TAAAGTATGTCTGTTTTAAGGTGTTCTTGTGTTTGTTTCCAGGAAATCACAGTACCTGATGTGACAAAGCAGACTGATGATATCAATGAGCACAGTCAGGTAGATGCATTTATATCATAATGTTCATTATCTCATAGGTTTGGGTTGTAGGGCCAAAGAATATTAGAAACCTCTGTAGATTTACAAATTTAAGGTGAAAAAAGTATCCTACAGTGTAAAAATATAATGTTCATAGTAACTTGTTGAAAACAGTTCTCAAGTTACATTACTCTTGTGTCAGTTTAGGTCAGTTTTCTCTTTAGTTCTAAAATGATGTATGTGTTTGCAAAGTCCCCAAAAGTAGGTAATATTGTGCCATAATGATGAATAAAGTGTCTGTTTTAAGGTGTTCTTGTGTTTGTTTCCAGGAAATCTCAGCACCTGACATGACAACGCAGACCAGTGATGGTAGTGACCACTTTCAGGTAAGTGTACTGAATTTATAATGTTTATGATGTCATAGGTTTGGGTTGTTGGGTCAAAGAATATTAGAAACCTGTTTAGATTTACAAATACAAGGTGAAAATTGTATCCTAATCTTAAAAATTAAAATAATAATAATGATGGTAACTTGTTGAAATCAGATCATTTAATCAGTCTTGCTTCAGATTGGAACAGTTTTCTCTGTTAGATCAAAATGAGATGTTTACGTTAAAGGTTCTCAAATGCAAGTAAAAACTTTGCAATATTGATGAATAACTAAACTCTAATATTATTTGTGTTTCATTGCTTTTTCATAAATTTCAACGTAAATACTGTATGACCCTTCCTGTGTATTATTGTTCCCACTTTTTGTATGTTTAAAACTTTTTTATTTTATTTTTTAGATGCAATGGGTTTTAAATCTAAAGTTATTTTTGTGGTAACCTTTTTTTTTTTTCGGGCTCATCTATACATTGGCATCTACATCTCATACAAAAACAATTAAATTATTTTCCTCTGCTTCTATCAAAATGCCAAGGAAAGGAAACTATGAAGTACACAAGAGTTGAGAGTTGGCTGCCAATTTGCTGTGAGGCTGAAAAAGTAGAAGCGGTGCAAAGTTACTTTTGCTGTAATAGTTATTGCATAACTCAAATATATTTCTAAAAATAAGTTAAACATTTTAAGGACTAAAATTAAGTATTTTTTGATTTTGTATTGATGGCTTTTTTCCATTAATAACAGATGTAATTTTTTTAAAAACTTCTCTCAATATTCTTTAGCTTCCATTTGGATATTATCTACCACATAAATGTCAATCATCTAGTTGCACAATAGTCATATGTAAACATGTGAACAATTTGTTTGTACCAGCAGTTTAGAGCGGGGGAGACGCAGCCCGCACCGGCAGCTCAGAGCGGGGTGGGGAGAGACTAGCTACATTTGTACCGGCAGCTTAGAGCGGGGAGAGGGAGGGAGAGACAGCTGAGCTGTCTGTACCTGCAGTTTAAAGCTGGATGGAGAGACAGCTGAGCCACATGTTGTTTGTTTTTAGCATTTCAGCTAGCTAGTATTGTGTGCAGCTAAGTAGCATAACACCAGTACTGACAGGTGGGAGGTGCGTAGTTCGGTTTGGTCGTTCAGCGTGCTCGGTTCTGTTAATGGGGTGGGGCGCTCTGACGTATTAGTAGCTTAGAGCACCCATATTCATAGTCTGTGGTTACAGTACATAAACCGTTATCCCTGTTACACCTTTTCCCACAACGCTTTTCCTTTTCACTTAACTTTCTATGAATATGCTTGGGTACAGTTCAATGATCTTTTGTGACTTTCCCTCTTATGGAGGGTGTCAATGACTGGCTTTTGGACATTTATCAAGTCAGTCTTCCCCATGATTGTGTAGCCTACTGACCAAACTGGAAAACCCTTTATAAGCTCAGGAAGACTTTGCTGGTATTTGAGTTAATAAACTGATTGGGGGTGACACCACAAGTTTCCAGTATATAGCTTTTTAATTTTCTATTTTTTTAGCTGCACCTGTTCATTATTTTGAATTTATTTTGATGTTAACATGCAGTGATTATACTGAAGTATTCTAAACTTAGTTGAAGTAAACGTGCACTCAATTGTATCATTGTGAAGTACTGGAGTTACAGTAATCTTTTGACTCACTGCTTCCTAAGAATACATTCTATGTAGGGGTGTAACGGTACGCTAAAATCACATTTCGGTTCGGTTCAGTTTCAAGGAGGGCTTGATTCGGTTAATTGTCGGTGCAAAAATGGCCAAAATGAAAACTTAAATTATTTTGAAAATATGCCAAGTAAGCAATGCATAAAATACATAATGTATAAAAATAAATAAAAGCGACCCATTTGGATGATATTTTAAATAAACGGCACTCTACAATAATATATACTAACAATAAAAATCTTAATAAATACAATAACAATCAAAACCAGAACAATAAACAGCAACAGAGTGTTTACAATCTTACTAGTCGAGTTTTAAATTTTTGGCCAAAAATAACAACTTATCTAAATTTTCTGCCAAAATTTGCAGTGATGGTATCTCCAGCGGTGGCGAGAACCTGCTCACTAGCAACCGAGGTAGCAGGAATAGAGTGTGTCAGCTTCAAGGGAAGGGCACCCTGAAGCTCTGTACTCACAATCTCTTCTTGGACTTGCTCCAAAAGTGACTTGCATGCCTGTCCCTGGAAAAGTTCACCAAAGAGTTCAGTCATTAGACTACTTGGCTGGAGGTGGAGATGATTTCTCTGAAGAAGACTCAACTGATAACTTGTGGCATCCTCAGACTGCAAACTACACATAAAGGTAAAAAAAAATTAGTTAATAAGATAATCATTTTAAATTAAAAAGTTAATTAGATCATAATATAATACCTCTTCTTGCATGTCATCATTTCTGTTATGAGGTGGTTGAATATCCTCTCTCGCTCATCATGTGGTAGGGCTTTAAATCTGGGCTCCAGGGCTTGTTGACTATCAGTTTTATATTTTTCATAAAGTGCTGGTACAACTTTTTGGCTGAAGTGTTGACGTGATGGAATGTCGTAGGCAGCAGGGCTCAAGAACTTTAGTTATATGCTTAAAGCCAGCATATCAACAACAGAAACATAGAGCCATTGCTTTAAAAACTCCTATTGCTTGTGTTATTGCTTTGGACCAATCTGAATTACCTGATAAAGGTTGTTTAAATGCTGCTATCGGTCTTTGCACCAAGCTGCTTTTCTTCCTTGAAGAGACGTTCCACATTTGGATGATGTCTTTTCAAGTGCATTAACAAGTTAGACGTGTTGCCTACTGCAGATCCAATCTCCATGAAACATCGGCACACAGCTTTGGATTTGCACTTGTCTTTTCCCATTGTTGAATTTTAACAAGAAAGCCATAATGTTCCCAAACAAGGGACCGAAACGAGATGAAAGGGTCTTCAAGCTCTGGCTGTTTTGTTGCCTGCTAGGCTGCTAATGCTATGCATGCTGCAAGACTATGCAGCAATCAATAGTGCTGTGCTGAAATGCTTAAGAACTTTAATTGGCACATAATCTCTCATTAATAAAGTTTAATGAGTGAAAAAATAACCAAAACAATACACACGTGAACCGAACATGACATACTGAAACGGTTCAATACACCCACATGTACCGTTACACCATTAATTCTATGGATCTAACTGAGTGCACAACAGAAATGCAAAGGCAAAAATAGAAGACATGCATTTTAAATGTGAGACACCGAAGGTAAAACCTTGCTTTAAGGGTTATTGCTGTAGTAATGGTTAGGATAAGTCAAACGTCACTATTGTGTAGGGAACAAAAAAGTTAAATCATGTCATCTGGATAGTTTATTTTTTGGAAGAAAATGTTTCATCCATCTAAAGGACTTCATCACTCTGAGGCCTGCCAGCAAGATTTGTCATACTAAGTAGCACATTGTTGACATGTTTCAAACCAGTCTGCTGTTGATTTCCCAGGCATAATGGCTTTACGAATGCAAAATGGAGGGCCATCAGTCTAAAGCAATTAATCATCAGTGCATAACACTGAACTCAACAGCAAACTGGTTTGAAACATGTCAACAAGGTGCTACTTAATACGATAGACTCTGTTGGCAGGCCTCAGACTGATGGAAGTCCTTTGGATGAAGGATAAAACATTTTCTTAAAAAAAAAAAACTCTCCGGATGACGCAATTTAACTTTTTTGTGTGATTTATTTTCCTGAATGATTGAACCTACTTTCTTTTTTCTTTCTATAGTTTTTTCAGACTAATAAAGCACCTTTTGAATAAGATTCTATAAAATGTTTTTAATATTGCTTTTTTAGTTTGCTCTTTCATATAAACATTTGTGCAGCTTTGATCATAACTATAATGGACACTGGTTAGAAATTTATTACTGATGTCAGAGGATGAGATGTCCACTTGGGCTGTGCATAAAATCAATTTAAGTTTTGAATTGGATTTTTGCTCCAACAATCACAAAAAGGGAGAAGTGAGAAGACTAGATGTATATCTATATGTATGTATGTATATATATATATGTATATGTATATGTATATATATATATATATATATATATATATATAT